TGTTTTTTATTGTTTCTCACGGGCTTTAGCGTTGGTGGAAATATGCCTGTTGATGGTGTGTTTTCTGACTTATCTATTCTATATCATTAACTTATTTAATGATTAACTAGTTCTTTTTTCATTAGGTGCCTTATTCCTGGAATTTATACCAAAGACCCATCAATATCTTATTACTTTTTTATCGGTCTTCTTTTCATTTGGTGCTGTTCTTACCTCGATTCTTTCTTATTTAATTTTGCCCCAGAATAGTTGTCTAGAAAAAACTTGTGATGTTCATAAACAAAACAATGGTTGGAGGTTTATGTTAATTAGTCTGGGATCACTGGTTAGTTTGTTATTATACGTGTTATTATTTACAACGGAATTATCGGTTCTAAATACGTTTTTTAATTTCATTCTTCAGACATTTCTCATGTTTGTCTGTCGCCTAATCTTTTTTCGTCTTCAAGAATCTCCAAAGTTTCTTAACACACAAGGTCGCGTACGCGAAGCTACAGCAGTTTTACGTAAAATTGCTAAAATAAACGGAAATTCTATAGAAATTAAAGACAATGAGATTCCATCCACAACAGACAATTCGATTAATTCTAATTATGTTGGATCATCAAATGATAATTCCCAATCAGTCAGGTGTTTATCTGACCCTGTTGGGTGGTTATCGTTAAAACTTCTCCCAATTAAGCCACTCTTCAGTAGAAGATGGATTAAAACAACCATTCTTGTATGGCTCATTTGGATGTTTAATGTTTTTTTGCCTACATATCTAGAATGGTTAGGTCTGAGTGATGATAAAAATACTGACGGCAAATCTTTAATACGAGAGGTATTAAGAGATTATTTGATATACTCTGTTTGTGGGATTCCAGGATCTTTATTTGGATCCTTCCTTATTGAAACAAAATTAGGTCGCAAAGGTAGTATGGCTCTAGCGACTTTTGGAACTTCACTGGCAGTATTCTTGTTCTCTACTGTCCGTTCTCGTTCTGGTGAAGTCATTTCTTCAGCTATGGTCAGCTTTTTGGCAACCCTTAATTATGCTGTAATATATGGGTACACTCCTGAAGTATTTGAAGTTAAATTAAGGGGTACTGCAAGTGGAATTAGTTCTGCACTTGGGAGAATGTAAGTTATCGTTTCATACTTATATTGATATTCTATAATGTTTTCTGATTATATTTTTAATATTTCAATAGAGCTGGTATAATTGCTCCGATAATTACAGGAGTGCTTCTCTCTATCAATATTTCTATACCACTTTATTTATCTGCATTCCTTTTTGCATTGTCTGGCATTTGCATGATATTATTACCAATTGAAACTAGAGGAAGACAATCTTAAATGCTATTGTATAACTTGTAATGTTAATACAGTGCGAATCATCTAATCGCATCAAATATATTAAATATTACGCCACTATGCAAATAATTTTAACCCCCTTAGTACGGTGATCTTGATTTGGTGAAACACAGTTTTGCTATTTATGTTCTAACCTAACAGATTTGCTTCCTTATTAAGCTAAAAAAAGCAAAGTTGAAAGCGTTGTATACCATCTATGGTCTATTTTCGGTTCTACCATAAAATCGCGACATCCAAAATCTCGACAGGTCATAATATTGCCATCACGCGAGGTGACAATTAAAAATTTAATGTATGACAATGATTGTTAATATGATTACTAATCTTTAAATATTAATCGCCACATCGGGTTATGGTTGTCGGGATTTTTTGGTAAAGCCCTATTTTCTTATAGTGTTTTAACCGAACAGCTAAAATTTGACCGGTCTGGTCCAAGAACTTGAAAACTGTAAATAAAATTCACGCTCTTTATTTGTAAAAGAATATTGAACTGTTTAGAAAAATAGGTTATTTTGTTGTGTATCTTACAATCAATTTGCTATTTTTTCTGACCAATTTTTTTTCACTTTCGAATTTTTTACCGCACAGATAAACTGATAATCTATGATAAGCGAAAGGTTCGTACAATTTCTAAGAGAAGGGTATTTAATTAATTATTTACATTACATTATTCTTGTAATATTACCTTCCTTATTAAGTTATTTACGTTACATTATTCTTGTAAAATTACCTTCCTTATTAAGTTATTTACATTATATCGATATTATTCTTGTAAGATTACCTTCCTTATTAAGCTTAGTTATTACTATTTTAATTATCATTATTCTGTAAGATTACCTTCCTTATTAAGATTAGTTTTGGTGCTTTATATAACAAGTTATTTAACAAAAGGAACCTTACCTATTGACGTATGTCATTTTTATATGATTATTAAGTTCCTTATTTAAATTGCTTTTTAACGTTAACGCACTTATACGGCGACCTAAGTTTAGTGAAACACGTTTTTACCAATTTTACTTTAATAACAGAATCTATTTTTAGCGAAGAAATGGCTAAAAAAAGGGGTACATCTAAAGCCGTGTGCAGTCATATGTTGTTAGATTTTTA